ATTATCTATATCTTCAATCTATCTCTTCGATCTATCTACACAGCGTGGTCACAAGTAAATAGACATCACCTTTCCAGAAACAATGAAATTCTTCAGTCATATTCACATGAATTGATATATTTATAATTTAATTAATATCTAGTACATCTTCCTCTCGCTTCGTGGAGTTCGTTGATCCTTTGGGACATCGTAAGAATCATCTCGTCAATTTAGATAGTGCGATTTTCGCCCACTTCTGCTTCAAAACTTGGAGTAGATTGCTCTTTGAAGCTGGTTTTTTGTTGTTTCTTGACTTGCCGGTCGAGTATGACCCAGATGTTTTCGAAGGATTCATGTCAGGAGATTGGCTCGGAAAAGGCAACTTCTGGATACCATTTTCTTCCTGCCACTTTTGGGTGTTTCTAGCAGTGTGACACGGTGCTCCATCTTTCTGGAACAACGTTGTGTTCTTGTCCACGAAACCCGAGAAATAAAGAGGCAAGAGTCCTTCCTCCAATATTTCGACGTATTTCGCAAAATTTATGTTGCCAACACACTCCACTAAGCTCGATCTCCCACCAACCCAAACAGCTCCCCAAACCATCACGCTGAAACTTCCATGCTTCACAGTTGGCTGCAATCTGTTGAGCCAAAACTCTTGGTGAGGCATTCTCCAGACCCATGTCCTTCCACTGTCCGAATTGAGTGAATCTTGATTCGTCTGAGAACAATAGGTCTTCCAAAAGTCCAGAGGCTTGGTCATCATATCACTTGCCCACTTCTTTCGTCTGATTATGTTGGCAGGTCTTCCGTCTAGCTGCTCTGCAACGATAACCCAATCTGTGGAGAATCCGTTGAATAGATTTCGGGCTCATCCCAACAACTTTGGCCACTTCTGCAGTCGTTAATCTGGGATCCATTTCGATGCTCCTCTTGACAGCCCTTTTTGTCCTCCTCGATGCACCAGGACGACCCGGACGCTGCTCAAAAGTTTCCTTGCCGTGTTTCCTGAACTGCACGATGATTATGTTGACTGTCGAAAGCGGGATTTCCAAATTCTGCGAAATTTGCCGCTGGCTTATTCCACCATCTGCTTGACCAACTACCCTTCCTCTAACAAAATCTGACAATTCGAGAGAACCTTGAGTTTTAGACATGTTGTAGCACAAGATAATTAATGTGCGGACCATTTTCATTTATATAGTGCTCTGTGAACACAAATTAGTTAGCATAAATCAGTTAAATGACGAAACATTAGGTGTCTATTTACTTGTGACCACTCAGTGTATTGTTTCGTCTGTGTTCGTTTGTTAATTTTCCGTAGAAATTCTTCCCGAGAAACTTCAGCGATACAAGTCCTTTCCTAATTAAAAAATAGTTTATTCTTTCTCAATTCAACTTTGCAATACACTTAATTTCCACAGTCAGTTTAACTTAAACACACGCTATAATTTACAACGATTCACACACTTTACTTACAGTCACTACCGCTCACTTGACTATATTAACTGTGTCTATTATCTTCAATCTCTGTATCTGCTACTCCAGTTCCGATTAATTCTCTCGCTTTATTTACCGCGCTTATATACAATAAGATCGCGCGTTTAGCAAATGCTAGGACGTTCGACAGGTTCCTCGATTTTTCTAGAACTCCAGTGCATGCTCCCAGCGTCGCGCGACTTCCGCTGTCGTAACAATATTATTGTTTCATTAGATCCGCTTATCAAAATGTTCATCATTGATAGCTAAGGAATAGAACAATTACGTAATTTCTATACATAGTTACGTATTTTTACTGTGACAGTCATGCTTGACCACGTAGTCTGAAAAGCACTTGATAATTGCAGAGGACATGTCAAACAAAGCACCTGCACCAATATTATTTCAAGAAATAGTTTTATCTAATAAACCTATTACTAGAAAATGGTGATCTTTAGGAAATTTTGAGCAGTATACCAATGAACAGGCCTCTTTATTTGTGTTGTACCTGTGTTATAGATAGGGTGAAATAAATGAAGCTAAATACAGTCTTGGCTCACTTCTGCAAACGTCTAATAAAGCCCCCCAGTGGCATGGCGGTATGTCTGCGGACTTACAACGCTAGAATCCGGGTTTCGATACCCATGGTGGGTAGATCACAGATAGCCCATTGTGTAGCTTTGTGCTTGATTACAAGCAAACGTGTAATAGATGAAGACGCGCTTTTCCTGCGTCTTCACCCGATATGCAATCTCACTTACATTTTCTATAATCCGTAATTGTTTATTTGTAGTTGTGGTTATTTTTCTATGCTTTTAAGTAGATATGAAATATAATCTTAATTTATGGCATGACAAACTTTTATATCACGTCCTTCATTCGTAATCCAATTAGTCTCATCACCCGAATTTTCACAACTCCAGGAACTTTATTTAGCACGAAGTAAAAGCAGTAATTATAATATTCTAGTAGGCCATCTCTCGACAAATATATTCACTACTTTTAATGTCTAATAGAGCTTTAAATCCTACAAACTAATATAGATAATTCATTACATTTTAAGAATTATATAGTTTTATGAAATATACTTTTTCAATAAATACAAACAGATAAAATTCTAAGTAAAAGCCTTCTGCCTTTCAAATATTCTGTTGCGTGTGAATTTTGATTATTAACGTTTGAAAAAAACCAAATTATTATTATTATTGATGCAGTAACATATTAGTTAAGGAAATTACTAACTATTCCAATAGCTGAGTTCTTATAAATACTTTCTTATCTCTTACTTTTAAGACTGAATAATTGCACTTCCAATATTGGATTATTTCATCTTTTTTTTTTTTTTAGAATATATTAAATTGTGAACTTTTTCTACATCAGGACGAAGAGACGATAACCACGAATATGCTGAGCCCTATGCTTCTGTACCACCACCACGCTGTGTTGTGGACGAAAGGAGTTGCCCAGTTGTGTTATCTGTAAGTTATTGAACGTCACCCTCACATTACACTGACAGCTTTGCTTTTAAAAGTGGACTCGTAGGCTGTGTGAAAAGTTAATTTATTCAATGACAAAATACGGTAATCTACGAGTGTCCGAAAACTATGTTAACAAATTTAATGTATTTCATTCCTGAATTTTTTGAAACGTCTATTGTACCTGTGTCACGCTGTCATATACTTCCATTACTTGAGCATGGAAGCATATTATGTTAATATAATAATAAGTTGGCAAACAACGATTTCGACAAAACATGTAGTATGTCCCCCGAAAAATAAATCACTTCATTATGCTTTTAAATTGTTGACTGCCAACGTATTAACATACTTTCATTGGTTTAATGTGATTTTAATAGCCATTGGCCCATAAGCTACCGAGTTTGTTAACATAATTTCCGGATACCATATATATATATATATATATATATACGCCTAGTAACTACTATGTACACAATCAAATAGTTTTAGGTCAGCCAAACAATGTAGGTAAGTACTCAAATCCTCCGAGGTTTGATCACGCACAAAGTTTCATATTATTATT